TATGTTGTCTTAAGATCTCAATGCTATATTAAACAATTAATACGACATTTAGACCCCTTGTGCCTTTGGAGTAGAGTTGCACTTTCTAGTTATTAAGAGGATTGCTCTTTTTAGTTCAGCTCTCACGAATGAACTAAATCATTATTTTAGTTCAGTAGTTTAATAGTTCGTCGAAACAGACACATTGTTGGACGAAAATTGTGAATCGTATACTGAACGACCATTTGGTATTTAGATTGTGGAAAGCAGGTGTATATGAAATGTTTATACCGGAAATCGTTCGTGGCCTTCATAAACAGGTGTCTATGCCATGGTTATTTTTTGTAGGACGATTTGACACCCAAACAACAAAAACATGCCCCTTTTTTTGAAATTTGCATGCAAATGTAAATAAATGTATACAACTTATGACATATTCTATCGGCAACACTGACTGATATATTTTGACCACATATTTTTATAACCTCCACCATAGTATGGAGGCTATATTAATTTTGTCATTCCGTTTGTAACTCATCGAAATATTCATTTCCGACCCAATAAAGTATATATATTCTTCATCAGGGTAAAATTCTAAGCCATGTCCGTCCGTCAAAATATTATGAATATAGGACCATTTTTATGGGTAGCCCCCAATTTTCGGTATTTTGGGGTTCTTGGGCGAATTTTTCAACCGAATTCGCTGCAATTTGGTATTTTATAGTCGTACATGGTAACAAATCTCTCTACCAAAAATTAATAATATTCGCCCCTTTTTGGTGTAGTCCCCCCCTTTTTTATATTACAATAGTTATCTGATTTGTTCCGCGTTTTGGGTTTGGTTCTAAGACTCTGATGTAATCATTTAACCTGCGGAGGATATTGAGATAAAAAAACTAGAACGTAAGGTTCGATAATGAACTATATATGAACTATAGCCCGGATTTAGGCCTAGGGGTATCCCCTGTGTTGGACGTACCAAAAGGAGTGGACCGAAGATGGGGAATCTTCGAACTTGGAAGAAATAATAAGATAAGCAAAGTTTGGATGAAATCACAATTTTCTGAAACTGAGTTGGTCCAAACAAACATGGGGTCTAGAACCAATTTTTCGATGAGGCACATTTTCACTTTATAAAGGTGTATACAACCTCATTAGCCATAAGGCTGGGGGTTTAAATATCCATTAAAAAATGCTGAAATTTGTATTTCGTGTTCATAATGGTTTACATAATCAGTTTGTAGAATGGTCACTTTTTGGCATGTTCCCTATATTTTCATTTCAAGTACCTGTCAGTATATCTATGGTGGAGGGTATCCAAAGTTCCGTCCGGCCGAACTTAACGCTTTTTCACTTGTTTCATTCTTATTTGAATTTGCAATACTGTCTACCTTTATCCTCTGGCATTTAATTTTTATCATTTATTTTCAATAAGCTTCATTTGTCGATTTGTATTCAAATTTTCCAAAAATGAATATTGTTTTGGCAATTAAAAATGTCTGTCATCTGCCGCCTGTCGCCTGTTTGTCTATCTACGACGGATATTCAGTCTCAAATTTAGTTGTGGCTATGATCTTACGTCCAATATGGTCATTGTCCGATTTGCGTACGTGATAATATTTGGAAATATGTTGTGACCTAGAAATGCTGATATTTCTCACTACGACAAAGACGTCGACGACGATATTTATTGCTAAATATTGCAATTACAATGTAAAAAGATTCAATTTAAATATAATTGGGGCATGGATGACATACAAAGACCAAGACAAATCACTCTTGTGCAACTGCAGCTGTTTGTCGTCCAGTTGCTGTTGTCCATCACAGGAATGGCTGTTCGTTCTTCACATTGCTGCTTCTTATTCTTGTTCGTCTTTTGTGTTCAAGGAAATATGACAACAAATTTGTCACAGACTCACACACATATACACACACAAAGCACGCAGACACTGACACACAGACGAAAGACATGATTCGTTTCCCTTTGCAATTGCTGACCATTTTCCAAATCTGTGAAGTGAAATGGAATGAAATGTAATTGCAAAGACTTCTTCGTCGGTCACTGAGCCATGACTGATAGCGGGGCGGAGGAGGGGCAGCAACAGCAGCTGCTGCCTGTAGTCGTAGCAGTACCAGACGGGAATTGCAGTGCTCTCAAACAAAAGGGAACTTTATTATGGAAAGACAATCAAAGGATTTCGGTGATTCGAAATATGTCCCTGAACAACAGTTGCTGCTCCTCCGCTCTTGTTTGCCGCCGCATGCCTCACCAATCGATCGACCACGCTGGTAAAATCATCACAAAACGAAAACAAAAATTGGCAAAACACAGAGCAGAGCCAAGCGACCAACCAATCCATAGTTAGTTACCACTGCAGTGGCTACGATTGACTACTGCGAAGCAGCCACAACTTACAATATCCATTTTATTCGCATTGCATTCGTCTTCCATTCCGCTGCGTTAACCCTAGCCCAAGTCCAGATTGCAACATCTCATCTCATCAATATTGTGTAATTTGGTTTCCTTTTGCTCGTCGCTCGCTAGCTCGGTGCAGACCAGCAGAGAGGAGAGGAACAAAAAACAAACAAAAATTTTCGATTAATAAAGTTAACCACTTGCTGTTGCGTACTGAGTGGATAGATACGAATTGAACAAAGATGTGTTTTTGTGAGTGTGTGTGTTTGCGTTTGGTTTGTGAATTTATGTCGGTTGGGTATTCATTCGGTCGGTCGGTCAGTCAGTTTTGCTTTTGTATATTGGCTAGTTGATATGCTGACTATTGTCCTTGTAATCTCAGTTTCTGCCTCTGTTGCCGAAAAAAAGCTTTGTAACCTCACAAAGCAACAGCAATACACTGGTAAATCTTAAAATATGATTTTTTATAGAAATTGTGTGGAATGAAGAGGAAAAGTTTTTTATGAATTCAAAAATTTGGAAAATTGCATTGAAAGGGAAGACCTATTTCCTTAAATTTCATTTATTTTAAAATATTATTAAGTTTAGCTTCAAATTGAGGTAGGTATGATTAGTTTATAAATATCAACTATCGTATACTTGGTTTTTGTTCAGAAGTATACTATAGTTGATATTAATTTAGTGCGCGGAAGGTTTTATATATATATATTACTGGCTTAGGAAAAACCGAACCACATGCCGTGATATTTCTGATAATGTATAATTTGCAATACATGTGATAGGCGTCCTTGGACATTTCTTCCACCATCATACATGTACTCGTTGAATCGTGCACAATTGCTTAAAAAGCTTGTGTCGTATGCTCATAAGAATGTTAAAAATGCGATCGCGTTGATTCACTTCTATAAAACAAATAGATATCGAAACAAAATAGATATCCAATGTATGAGTCTTCGAAGTCGATCAAAATTTAATGAAGTTTGTTCGTTAAAGAAGCATTTCATTGGAAATGGTCGAATGATTCTTCTGCAAAATGTAGGACGGACAATTTAGAGCGAAACACCTCAAAATTTTGTTTGACCGAAGTCTTCGGGCTAATGGCTAATTTGAGGATAAGAGTATTGAATAGAGTAGGCATCAAAATTATAAAAATAAAATCTGTGTTCAAGAAAAGTTTTGAAAATTTGTTGGAGCGAATGAATAAGTCATCATAGAACAATAGAATCACCTTTGATGATAAAAACTCACGTTTTCATTATTAGGCTAGAATCATACCGAGCCATATTCGTCAAAAATTTTACATATAGTTCTTTATATATATAGTATTTACTATAGTTCTAAATTTCAAACTAATACCTTTATTAAATTTGAATTTATTAAAAAAACCTTCTCATGTAAAATTTCAAATTTGTGGGTTACGTTTTTTTGGGCGAATATGGCTCGATATATGAAGACAATCTGATTGTAATATACGATACGACGAGAAGACTGTCAGAAACTCTGTGTACAAACTACAAAAGTAAACAGATGACAGATCGCAACAGTAATACAATATTAAGCGATTAGCATCATTATTCAGTAGTAACTTTGAACCTGCTGTAATTCGAATTACAAATAACAGTCACTTCAAGTACATTATCAATGGCGGGTTTTTGTCAGTGTTTTTAATGATATTGTTTCCCCCTCTTTTTATTGAAAACTAAATTTTTATACGATCCTCATAACTACTAGAGTTCGATAAAATCATGTGTGTGTGTGTGTGTAAGGATAAATGATTCCGTTCATTGATTATTGTGGGTATTTGTTTTGTTTGAACTGTAAGTACGTGCGTGATTTCCAGTTCACCATGCCACTTATTGTAGAAGTACTCCCCACCAAAAATGCATGAACTCCTCAATGCAACATGAAGCAATGTTGGTTGGTTGTCGCTGCATTCGTTCGTTCGCTCGTTCATTCTTTGGTTCGTTCGTTAGTTGTTGTAGCGTAGTGGCATTTGTGCAGCACTGTGTAAATTTCTTTGTTATTGCCAATGTTTATTTGGCTTCATCCTATCTCACTCTGCCTCGATTCCCTTTAAGCCTTTGTTCGTCGTATACTATTTTTTTGTGTGCGGCGGAAACGGAAGCATGCAATTTGTGTTGTAATATAAAGAAAGACAACAACAACACCAACAACAATAATAATGAAACACAAGCAAACAAACAGAACAAAATGAAAACAGAAAAAAAAGAGATGAACATTAAAGGACAATACCAAACGGAAGTTTATTTAATCGATGACATAAATGTATACATTCAAAGGATAACTTAAGTCCTTGTGTCTTTCTTTCGCCTGCAATACACTTTGTATCCCGGCCATTTCGATTATTGGTCGAATTTTTCTTTATTTACCAGTCATATTTCATAAAATGAATTTTTTTTTAATTCATTATGGAAGTGAAACTCAGCGACCCTGAGCACATAGCCGAATTAATTTTTATTGGCAGTTGGCATCTTTTGTTCTGTATCGCTGTACCTTATCTCTGATTGCAGTGACATTATCATTTCCAGTAAATACTCATTTATCCTCTTCTCATTTTTTTTTTTTTTTGTTCACTTCATTACAGATTCCAGTGCTGGGTTCGACAACGCTGCAGAAGTGCTCCAGTAAACCATTCAATACGTCATCGGCCTTCATGGTTAAATTATTGTCAAATATTGGCTTAATTGTTATTGCCATTGTTATTTTGGCCGCCACGGTTTGGTGTAAGTATTAAATTGAACAATGTAATTGGTATGAAAGCGAAATCTCTATGTGTGCATGTGTGTGTATGTAGGACAAGTTTCAAGATTAATAGCACTCAAATGTTGATTTGTAAATATACTTAACGACTCTGTATCGGATACCAATGATACACTTAGCACTTTTGTTAATAAGTTGCTAATATAGTGGATGAGGAAGAGAAAAAATCTAGCTGACCTTGCACTCGGGTGAATATTGTTGAATAATTACGCTGAAACAAAACGTATATAATTCGATAAATGTTTGAATTCCCGGTTAGATACTGGGTATAAAACTTGTCTTTCCCTTTACAACTTCTTCAAATATTTATCGGAAGCCTTATAAATTCTATACTCGTATATATGGCCAACATTGCCAATTGTTTAATATTTCATTTTCAAAAAATCGATTTTTTTATTTCTTCGCTTATATATGATGAGCATTAAAACAACTTTAGAGTCAATGTAAGGTGACATATAATTAAACGCTAGTATTGAAGCCACAATTGTGTAGCAATTATAAAATCATCAAACACACAAGTATATTATAGAGAGAATGAATCTCAGTGGGAGATTAGGACTTGTATAAGCCTTGCATGTCTTTGATCGCACGCTCAAAAATTATTTCATATCGGAGGTATATCTGTTTTCCACTGAGTATTCAGGCATTTGCGAGCTAGGGTGTAGTCATTCGTAGCAACTGATAGTTCTTCAAATTGCTCATATATAATTTCTTTAGAAGAATTATTGAGAGCCTCGGCCTGATATTCAAAGCACCTACATTCCGTAACAAGTATCCCTTCAACCGAACAGTTTCCTTGTAGATTGTCCTGTGGATTCATTACTGACATGGGGTTTGAATTGCAATGCTTTTAGCGGAAATCTGCTGGAACATCCTTGAAGATTTATTGAACGATAGATTTGATCCTCTAACATAACGTTTAGCAATGGGTGTTGGGTTATGCTTTTTTTTTTGCTCGTTGATGATCCATTGTTGGCATTATGTACTGCTGTGGCGTGAGTTCAGTTACTTTCGAAACTTGTCGTCCAGCTGATAAATGTATATACTAGGCTTAGGAATTCTTTACTTTTTTTCTTAAAAAATGATTTGCAGGGTAGAAATTAATGAGCTATTATCTATTAATGACTAATAAAGGATTATTCAATTTAAGTACTTAAAAATATAGAGACAAATCAATTTTAAAATTATGTTTTTATAAAAAAAATAATTTTTTAAATTTTTATCTTATGTAAAAACTCATCAATACTTCAATTCCATATAAATTACATCAATTTTTGCAGTTAGATGCACATAAATACGACACAAAAGAGACGTAATCTACGTAATTCTACTTTTACATGAAATCTGAAATGTTAGTTAGCCGAAAAGTGGATTTAGTTTTGACCAAGCAAAAATTGGGTTAATTCACTTTTCCATAGAATATTTTTCATTTCAAAATAACTTTAGGTATATATTTTTTGTTTTTGTTAAGGGAACCCCGCCCATTCTCGATTTTAATTTTTCAAGATTTTCAATGGGCTGGTAAATCAATACCAATGCTTGCACATATATATTTGAAGATTTAAACGAGAAGAAAAATAATTTACAAAAAATTTTTGTTATTGTTTTGTTGTTGTTTTTTGTAATTAAAGAAAAGTCCTTATTTTTGATGGCGGGCATGATAACTCCTCACTGGAACATCGGAATCCTAAAATTCCAACGGTGTTAGAAAGAGTACATGTCTGGCTCTCGTATGAACTAGGATTATTGACTTCGCTCTAAAATTAACAAAATGGCGGACCTTTGAAAAAGTATTTTTGGAAAATCGCCGATTTTTGACCAAAAACCAAGTTAAAAAATAAGTAAGATCTTCACCGATTGGCTTTATCCTGGTTCATACGATAGCTATACACTCACAGAGAAACGTGTAAAAATTTGAAATCGATTGGGTTATTGTTGAGTTATCGTGCCCGCCATTCGCAAAAGAGAAAAACGCGTTTAAAGTTTGAGAAGCCCTTTAGCCGCCACTTGATGCTGACACAATAAATCGGCTATATCTTCAAGAGTTCTTGAGATTTTTACTTGAAATTTTGTAGGGACATTCTTGAATTAGTGTAGATTCGAATTAAATCAAAAAAAATTTTGACCCCGAGAATGGGGGGGGGGGGGGGTCCCCTTAAAGGTGAAAAATTATCTATTTATTTGTGCAAAAAACGTTCACTATAAGTTTATTTTTAAAACAAGTTCAGTTCAGTTTACAATTTCAGTTGCTTTAGTGTATGTATTTGAAGACTTCAAAATTATTGACCTAATGTTGTTGTTTTTGTTTCGGATTTGTTTTCTTGTAATGAAAGAAAAGACCTTTTTGGACAATGCATGATTTCCGATCACTGGGGCGGACATCTGAATCCAAAAATTCCTACGTGATTCCGAAGAGCACGTCTCGGGCTCTGGAATGAACTAGGATTATTAATATTGCACAAAAATTAACAAAATGGCGGACATATAAAATTTTAGTTTGAGAAAAATTCCCTATTTTCGACCAAAAACCTAGTTAGAAATTAAGGAAGATCCTGACCAATTACATTTACCGTAGTAAATAGAAGTAGTAAGTAGTAACGCAATAAAACATTCTTGAATTAATGTAGGTTCGAATTATTAAAAAAAAAAAAATTAGAAACCGAGAAACCTTTCAAAATAATATTAGCAGGAATGCTTAACATTACTTTCGGCCCCAGACGTATGGCATTGACCATATATCTACAATAAATTCTGATTTGAAATTTATTAGCAAACAACTACAACAAAATCATTTGTTTTTTCACTATGTTTAGCTAATTTGCAGCCAATATCAAAAATTGATATTCAAATCCATATTTATGTTTCATTGGATTGAAATAATATTGGTGTGAAATGTTTGTGTTACTTATCGCACATGAACCTTGAAAGGGATTGCAATATGAATGATATTTCATCGTTCAGTTTAGATAGAACGAATGAAAGAGAGAGGGCGGTCTTTGGGCGATAACTTCATAACCAATTCCATTAAGTTTGTGATCCATTTCATTGCCACTTATCATTTCGAATTTTGCATTCAGCTTTTTTTCTCGATGTTTCATCTTTCCGTTTGTGTGTGTGTGTGTGTGGGTGGGTGGAAGAAGGGATTAAACAAACATCCGGAGTATTTGAATATCAGGTGAAGTGTTTATTTTGTAACAAAATTTGATAAAGGTCTTTCGTTTGTCTTGTAATCGAAAAGCAAACCTCAGAGTAGAATGTTTGATGCTGAGAGTTTTCAAATGGAAAAACTTTTTTTAAATATTCAAAAGTTAGGTTTGTTGTTTTTGTTGTGTATCGATAAGTATGATTTGTGGCGGGTATAACATTCAAAATATATGTATGAGTTTGCATATGAACACAGTAGTAGGAGTATAGTTTGTATATTTTGAAGTTTTGAAAAAAAAATACTTTTTAGTTAACACTTGAGTGGGTAAAAGTTGAATATTGGATAAAATAACCAAAAATAGAGATATGAAAAGTTGGGGTCATTTACGGAAAGAGTGAATTAATTTTAAATTATTAATGAAAATCTAGTTCATATTTGATTTCAGTTTAAACAAATATTATAAATGTCGGTCGGAAATGTTATCCCAATTCAGAATGCTAGGCGATATCTATGCAAATAGTATTGTTCGAATTGTCATGTTTAGATTTCAAACAAAATCCTTTTTATGTCACAATAAGGAATTGTCCTGACATTTCACCTGTTATATATTAATTATTAACCTGGCTTTACAATATTAGGTCTGCCATGTGAACATAACGACTTAGTCGTTATCTTTCCCTTTCATCTTTGTCTTCGGGAATAAAGTCATAATTTTATAGATTTATCTTTTCAACGCAAGTTATAAAAAATCGTTCGCACCATAAATAATCCAAACGAGCGTAAAATTTAACGATTTTAAGCACATTCCGGTCACAGTCAAAAAGTTTATTGACATCAAAGAATGTTAACGCCAACCATAACAAAAATAAAAAGAGGGAAGTATAAAATCAAAATTTGTTCTTTTATATTTTGGAAAAGTTTGTTTTATTTTGAACTCGTGCTCGCTCGTTCGCTCTTTATTGTAATTTTTAGATTTTAGTATTTTTCTATGACTGCATTTAACATTTACCTCTCATCATCTCTTCATCTTGTGGTTCTCTTTTTTTCTGTTCATTTCAGTGTATTTATATTTGAATCCTTCAAGTGGCACCACTCAAATAAACCCAGACGGTAAGTAGAGTTTAATTAACAATTTCCCCGCAACTTCTAAACTTGGAGTTTTTACGCTAAGAGCCAAAAACTAAAATAGAAAAAACAAAATAATATTGGCATAAAAAACCAAAAACTAAAGAGAAAGGGAAGCATGGAAATATACATTTTTGTTGTTGTGTTGGTGGCAAAACTATTACTACTAGGACTGCTACGACTTCGTCGACTTTTTACGGATTCACACATAAAAGGGAAGTGGGAATAATCACAACTCAAAACTCTTGTAATATTTTTGGCCAGATTTTAAAAGTTCGGTTTCCGTTTCCTTTCTGCGTTTTGGTCGTGATGGTGATGATTTCTCGTCTACTCGTTGTATAACTTTTCTAATGTATTTTTCCTTTTATTTCATTGCTCGGTAGCGCCTTACTTTCCGTTTTATGATTTCGTTTGCCTTGACGCTTGCACAGTGGTTACACATTTTTATAATTACACCTAATTCTGTTTTTACACGAATTTGAAATAAAACGAGTAAATACGAAAAAATATTTCTATTTTTACACGACATAATTTGAAATAACACGAATACAAAAAAAAAAAAAAAAACACAATTACTTTTTTTACATGTACTATTTATTTATTGAAGAAAATTCTGGAATGCTTTTGCTCAAACATCCCTGCCGTAATTAGAGTAACAACCCTGCATGGCATGAATTTCTGATATGGCAACATTTTATATAATTCTGGTGTGTGTTCTGAGTTATGTCTATGTATGCGTAATTTCTGTTTTACGGGAAATGCGGGATTCCCCGAATTATTGAAAAAGTAAAAATGTACATAATGTATTGTACACACAATTTAGTTCGTATTTGACAATTATAATTGAAAGATCGTTACTGATTTTTAACAAGTGCTAAGTAAAATAAGGTAGAAGCTCAGGTTAGTTTCAAATATTTAATTTTAGATTTTTTTTATTTTATTATAATTTAGTTTATTTAATAAATTAAAACGAAAATAAAGTCTTAAAATAACTACAACAATATTTTTTTATATTATTTAGTCTAATTTTAACTTATTTTTTGAGGTCTAGAACCAATCTATTATTTTTGTACTTGACCAGTATAAAACAGAATTAGGTGTATATCGTGTGAGATTTAAATGTTTGTTCTTTTGCAAATCCGGTACATTCTGGGGGATTGCTTCGCTCGTAATATAATTGCAGTCATTATTGATTATTCGACCCTTTGACGAGATTTTAATCAACTCCGAGGGATAAAAATTCGGCATCGCTTTCACGTTAAAACAAAAAAAAACTTTTTATATTTTCAAGAAGTAAACATGTGACATCCGTTTCAATTATCCGAGTTCAAGACTTTTCGTCTAACACATGTGGTACAATTGCTAGTACTTCCGTACACATTTTACAACAACACAAAAATGTCATACAATCCTCACCACTTCCATTATTACCACTGTGCCTCTGTCTCACGAAGAACCACATTACAAACGCAAACCCAATAGAAAAATGTTTTACTGTTGTTGTTATTTTCTTTTTTCCAAACTTGGGAAATGTGAATTTCATTCTGACCACAGTCGTATCAATTGTTACTGCAAGTGGGTGTGAATTGGATGTTGATGTTGCACTAAACAAATGGTCCTGGTGGTTAACAGACCACCAATCGCCAATAGCAAGTCATCAAGTTAATATCCTATCCATAACGTACACCGCCGCTTCCAATAGCAACACCAACAAAACAACGACCACGACAACAACAACAACTACAGATATGTACGTGTATATTTTTTGGGGTCACACAAAAATTTTTATTTATTATTTGAGTTCAATGTTTCCTTCCCGCACACCTCGCGCCAACAAACCAGGCATGGGCAAAAGTTCATAAGAAGGAAGCAAGCGAGCAAACAAACACACACCAACGCCAGTACGACCTACCATACATATATACAAGCTACTGAAAATACCAACCGACACTGAACAACATCAATTTAACGCGATAATAAACAAAAAATATCGAAGTATAAAAAAGAAAAGTCGGAAAATACTAAACTTTTCTACAAACTAATTTATATCAACATGCCTGCTCATTGCATTAGCATCATCATTGTGGGGAAACTTTAATTATAATTGAGATAATTATTTTCAGGACTTTTCTGATTGATTACTCATTTTTGTTGACCATTCGTGACCCTTAGTGACCGACAGATTTTACACTTCCGCTTCATCCATAGACTGCTAGATAATTTAAAAATAGTGCTAATTAACCTAACCCGACTGTAAAGAATATTCTTACAACAGCAGCAACAGCATTTGATATGACTCAGCGTCAACTTTAGAAAGTGATAAGCCAAAAAATATAAAAAAATAGAGCGGGAGAAATGAAAAGAATTCCTTTTAATATTTTATAGTGACTTTAGTAGTAGTTCTTTCTTCTTTCGAACTTAATAAGAAAACTATGAAATTTGCCTCTTTGTTGCATGCAATCGTAGGTTGGAACTTGCCGCAGCAGCAGTAGCCGTAGCAGCTGCCAATGACTTGCAAGTTTTTTTTTTCGTATAGAGGGGGCGGAGATTTTGTTGCAGCAGAGACGAAATCGAAAAGTTACTTTTTTAGTTTTCGCGATAACAAAAACACACCTTCGACAAACTCAACGAGGGTAATTTGGTCCTTTGGCAATGTTTTCGAATTATCAAACTTAAAGTAAGAGGGAAATTAACAAAACAGCGCTGCTATTTTTTGTCATCGAATTTGTTTTTTTCTTCTTCTTCTTCTACTTTTTTCGCGACAAAGTTTCTATGTTGATCCTCTTTCTGTTTTTAAATTTGTTTTGCATAGTAACTGGATCAGAGCTGTATTATTGCAACTCAAGAACTGCTACAACAACTTACTTTGATTTTCTTTAAAATGTAGATATTATTGTAAAAAATGTTGTAGTACAACGACATTATTTTTATACAGACTTATATGATATATCCTATTAAATACGTGATTAGACATCATCTAAAACGAGCATAAACAATTTTAACATAAATTACCGCTTCAATTATTAGTCTCCTTAAATTGTTGACAACTTTTGATATACGGAAATGGTTGAGAGTCAGTTGGCCAGTGGGACGAAAGATAACTTTGAAAAGCAAGAAACTTCACATAATTATAAATTTATCTAAACAGAATTGTAACAGGGTGTTGTTGAAATGGGATGGATCGAAAATTTTCAAAAACCAAGAAACTTAGAGCGAAAAATTATTTTTAATATATTGAAGGAATTCCAAAACATCAATGTCACAATGAATTATTAATGAATGAATTATATCACTGGGGCAATAATTACATGTTTCAATGGCAACAGCAATAAACATTATCCTATATTATTTATCCATCCTCATTTACATCAGGAATTTTTAAAAATTCAGAATTGCAGCTGCAGAAGAGCTTGCCAATTTTGCAGGCTACGGAAAAAAATCGCTTATACATTTTTTTTAAATTCACATTAAAAAATGGAATGTATATGTGAAAATAAGATTCGTTTTTAGTATAAAAATTAGATTTGTATTCTGTAATTATTTATAGACAGAATTACCGACGATTGACGATAAGTGCAAATTGTCATTAGCTTTTAATTTCATTAATTAACGAAAATTATCGGTAATTTAACGACCGAAATAAATTAGTCGTTAACGATTAAAATAAAGTAGCGTACTGAATTAAGTGCAGTTTGATGTTTGTGGATTTTGTTGAAATCGGTTCAGATTTAGATATAACTCCCATATATAGTTTAGTCCGATTTTATGTAAATGGTGCACCAAACTTCCACGGATTATCCGATTAAGACAAAATTTTGCACAGCGTACTGTATTAAGCCCATTAAGTGTACTGAATTAGTGCACCATATATCCTGTTCCATTTGCGCGATATTATGTTTAGCATATTGGATCGATTGGACGAATTTGTCCACAACGTACCAAATTGGAGCTAAAATAACGCTTATTGGTTTTAGTATAATATGTATATTCAGATGTAGATATAATCCCCAAATATTTTCGTCAGAGTTCATACAATTTGTACACCGAATAATATAGGTTTCTCCTAGCGAGATAAAATTGTGGACAACGCACTGTGCTGCAGCATACCACTAGTGTATGCCATGGTTTTATTTATTGGTTCAAATATCTATGTAGATCACAAATTTAATTTCGCCCGATTCCATTCTGGGGGATATTGTACATATGTACCCAAAGTAGTGAAGGGTATCATTTAGTCAGCCCCGTAAAAAATGGATGGCAAGTTGTTGTCGTAACTATATGAGTATGTATTTTTTTTTAACTAAACCATAGTTGTCAATTATTATGCAATATGATAATTTTGAAATTGATGAAATAATTGGTGTGCCAAAGTTCTGACTAGGACATAGTTTTCATAAATAATTTCGTTCGATTTCATCCACATCTGTCCGATCGATACGAAATCTTTCACAAACAATCTTATCTGGTATGAAGAACTTGTGTCAAGTTTGAATAAAGTTTGTTTCTCATATATAGTCGCACGATTCTATATAAATAATGTAGTCATGCTAATTCTTTTCAATATAAATTCTGGTTTTTACGCTCTGATGTAATAATTAATAGTCGGAATTGACAAAATAAATTGGCTTGGAGGTGGAGTCCAGCCAAAAGTAGTTCGACTGCGAAGTCCTGATTACGACTATGTAAAAATAATTTACTTTTTCGGTTGTGCGTGTTCCATTTTTTTCCCGCAGTAAGTCATAATATATTGATCCGGTCATTGCACTATGGCTGAAATCGCAATTTTAGCGGCATAAAATACTTGTCCACTTCCACAAATTTAGAGTGGAGAATTCTAATGGTAGAAAAAGGGGTTTGAAAAAAAAAAATACGAGCCATGCCCCCAATGTTGGGTATTTTGGGTACGTTTTTCAACAATATTGGCTGCAATATTGGTCTAGGGTTTCGCACAATTTTCATCGGAATTAGCTGTCATTTTGTATTTT